CGGGTCACAATTTAGCATTGTAGACCTTGGTCCAAAGCCGTCGCCTTTCCTTAGCAAGACACCCAACATTTGGTGGCTTAATCCTCATGTTTGAAAGTGACCTGGTCAAGTCAAACACGAGTCCATCAAAGTTGCCATTGTCACTCTTGGTGACTCTTACATTGACAACGTCCTCAAGTGCTTTGAGGAACATGTCCGAAAGGTAGGAGGAAAGAGTTTCCCTCCAGTCTTCCGGGATGGAATTTGCCGTGAGCCGTGAGACCCTTTTGCAATTGGAAGACCATTCTTCATGAGCCTCGTCGGTCATGATCCCTTTACTAAAGAAGCTTAGAATGGGAGTATCAAGAGTATACTCCAAGGAACAATTCCGGAGATTTCTCCTGAGTTCCTCTTCCCATTCCTTAAAGTTGACCAAGTTTAAGGGAAAGGCCAACGTTTCGGGGAGTTCCGGGCACATATGGTTGTTGTTTGAGTTACTTGCAGACATTGATCTACAATTGAAAGAATTTGAAGTGAAAAACCATTCATACATCAATAAGTTGAAATTTAAGGCGTTCATGCACTTATTCACAGTTATTGAACATTTTATCCACGCATTTTAAGAATGTCCCTTATGGGCGAGAATAAAATGATTCCGAGATCCCAAAGATCAAGAAATGGATAAGCATGCTTTGGCTTGTCTTAACCATTAAATATCTTAAGGTAAGCAATCCAATTGCTAATAGCTCCAAGCTACTCTCGGTTTGATAAAATGTCGCATCTAATGCATACTTGACATTTTATCTCTTTTGACACGACATCTAAGGACTCCTTACTGTGATATTGTTGAGCTTAACCAAGACAGCTTGTATACCTAGTATACCTTACGTTCCTAGGGAAGTAGTGATGCCTCGCTTTGGCGTAATCCATCACGTACGCGCATTAGTTCGGTAAGTGTTGTTCTTGGAATGGCAAATTTTAGCTCAATATTATTAAGGGACCTAGGGTTTCTATGTTGGTTGATTTAAGTGAACTTAACTAATCATCGCAACATCATAGAAAACCTAGACATGCATCTAGAAAACATATATAATAACAATATATAAGGCATAAAATAGATGCATTTGGCAACTAGCATGACCCCTTGAATTCTTCAATTTCCATGGGTCTTCATCTTGGCTCGTCTTCGTCGAAACGTCGTCTTAAGACTTCTTGGCCAAAATGAAATAAAAGAAGCTAGCTAGAACGACTAAGATTAATCTAAATATTACAAAAATACTTAACGGTTCGCAGACCGTATTTAGATTTACAAAAATACATAACAGAACACATTCCGTATTTTCTATCCTAGTCGGGCCCCACCAGTTGCCATTTTCAAAGAACCTGTTTTGAAAGAAATCTTTCATTCACCCGTTCACTATTTGTGAACGACCCATGCAATTTTACGAAATACATAATTAAACACGCAAAACTAGTAAGTAACTTAGGTCGTTAATCCAATTAACGCGCCTAATTAAAACTAGTCAAAGTGGTTTAATCCATTATTTCTAAACGCAAAATGCTAACGCATTTAATTAAGCTCCCACTAAATTCCGCATCCGTACTTAATTAATCCGATTAATTAAGTCGTCATAACCCATAATTTGTCAAAAATTTTGCAAATTGAAAATAGAGGTTTTTAGCCTCGTTAAAATAATTAAATAAAATTATTAGTACGGGAAAAATCGCAAAATCATAGCTCAACCTAAAGCAGAATTACCCAACAAATCCCTTGGTGGGTGCGCACCATGGCTGCTAGGCAGCCCATGGCTTGGCGCCATGGTGCGTGGTTGAGGCCTGCTGTGCCTAGCAAGCAGCGCCTCAAGCCCAGCTGCCTGCTAGCATGATATGCATGCTTGCTAGCACACTGGTGCCTGCGAGCATCTGGCCTGTTGGGCAGGCGCATCATGATGCTCGTGGTGCGCTGGCTGATGCTTGCTGCCCTGCTGCCCAACAGCATGCTTCGCAAGCCAGCCCAGCCACCCCACGCACCCCAGCCATGCATCCCAGCCACACACACATAGCGCATAGCAGCATTCAAGGCTCGCCCTTGTGCGCACCACAGGCAGCCACATGTGGGCTGCTAGGCAGCCCGGCTAGCCTTGGTGGCACTTGGGTGTGTTGCCTTGATTTGCGTGCTATGACTCTGGATTTTAATCCCGATTTACATGTGACATGAATTAATTCCAAGTTATATTTTAGAATTAATTTTGGGGAAAATAAAATAAAACAACCATTAAGTCTAACTTAAACAAATTTTATTTTAATTGGTGCACAAGCCTAAAGTTATCCAAAATTTCAATTTTGAACAAAATTAGGTCAAACATTATGCTTAAAATAAAATGAGCTATGTCCAAAATTAATCTTGCCTATATGCAAATTAATAATGGATTTGACAAAAGGGAGTTGGAAAAAATAAATTAACCATCCAATGATAAAATTTTCCAACTTGCATACTTGTGTAAAATACCAAGATTACATTTTCCAATATGAAGATTAATCAAATTTTACTCACAAGTAATTGAACTTAATGGATTTTAATCAACCAAAACATGAAAAAATCCAAACTTTGTTCAACATGGAATTTAGGGTTAGGGTTCCAATCATTTAAACACTTAAAGATTAGAACTTTAACAATACTTGGGAACTTAAGATACAAAATCACAACAAGTTTTCACACCTTATTGCAATTTATTTGCAAAATTGTGAAAAACAAGTTTATGTGATAAATTGGTATATCAAGTTAAGCACTAATAAACACTCCATTATTATGCTCAAGGATATTTTAAAACCAGTAGATTAGTGATGCAAATGTGCATTTAATCTAACCTTGTAATTCTCGCATTAATCAAGGCTTAAAAAGAATTACAACTTTCGTTGAAAAACGAAAAACCCCAGAAAAATTGGCTTTCTGGTTCGAATTTGGCTTCTGGACAACCCTAAAAGAATTGAAACAGTTCCAGAATGTCGATTCCACCCAAAGATCACTATTTTTGAGCCAAAATCTGGGTTCGACAGCCAAATCGAAAATAAAATCGAGATTTAAAATTAATTAAAACGAGCATCTAATCTAATTAGATGAACATGAACCAGAAAAATAAATTTTTTAAAACATCTTAATTAAACAATAATTGCAAAAATTAAAAGGAGCGTGGCTCCGATACCACTGTAGGGTTTCGTAGTGACCCGACACTACGCGGAAGGAAACCCACCAAGACCCGCCCCTTAATTAAAGTAATTAAACAAGCATAATAAACTTAATCAAACAAGATAAAGGACAAGAATTATACCTTTGACGCGTGCTTCGCTCCCAAAGAGCTCTTACTTCAAAATCCCGAAAAGACGAGATCTCCGACGGATCGTACCCTCGACCCGACCCGAGCGTCCTAAGTCTTGAAGGTTAGTCAAGACCTGGACAAAATAACTATGAGTTTTACGAATCAAAGGTTTACTCTTTTCTTAGAGTTGCCTTTTTAATTCATCTCAAGGTTGTGTCAAATCCCAATACCAAGCTTGGTATTTATAGGGAAATGATCCCTTGATCTTTCATCCTCCATCAATGTGGGAGAATGTATTTTTTCTAATTAATTTATTTCTAAAATAAATTATTAAACAAAACTAATCACAATGCAACAAGTGTCAAATAGAGAGAGAAGGTTAGGTGAGGACCGTGAATGGGTGGGGGAACCATTGCCTTGCTCCTCAAGGCCTTGCCCAAGATTGGTCCCCACCCCTCACCTAAACCGCCACTTCATGGGGTGCTGGGTTGCTGACAGCTAGCACGCCAGCTAGCATGGTGCTGGCCATCCAGCCAGCTAGCATGGCGCTGCCCAGCTGCCTCGCATGCCTGGTGCTAGGCCATGCTAGGTGCTGGTGCTGGCAGTGCTAGGCGCTGCTGCTGCTGGCTGCCTAGCACTGCCCATCGCACATGCATCTCTCTTGCATCGCATCGCTAGCACAGCCAGTGCTAGCTGCGCATCGCTGGCGTTGGTCTCGCATGCTACGCACTGGCTGGTCGCACATGCATCACGCACCAGCCATGCGCCCCGCACCACGCGCATACTCGCGTCCCTCGCTGCACCTCACGCATTGCCAGCCCACACGCATCAATGCGCCTGTGGTGCGAGGCTGCTTGTGCGAGGCCTAGCATCAAGCTGGCGCGTAGCCTCTCGCATGTGCTGCGATGCTTGGTGCAGCCATGCGAAGGCTAGCACACAAGCATACGCACATGGCGCGCCACTGCCAGACATCCAACCATGCTAGCACTTGGTGCTTGCGATGGTGCTGCCAAGCCAGGCACGCACGCACGCAGCACCTAGTGCTTTCCATGGTGCGCCTTGTGCGGCCATTGCCTGCGATAGGCGCCATATGCACCCAGGCACCATGCTAGCATGCTTGCTAGCTGCTATGGGCTGCCTGGTGCCTGTGTGGCTTGCGATAGCTGCCATGCGCACCCAGGCACCCATGCTAGCATGTTGCTATCTTGCGATGGGCTGCCAGGGCGTGCCTAGGCTGCGATCGTGCCTAGCACACCATGGTGCACCTAGCACACACACGGTGCACCTAGGCATGCTATGAGCTAGCCTAGCCTAGCTACGGCTACGCTCATACTTGTTGCTTGTGATTTTACGACGCTCGGTATCGACGCCCTAGGCTCGATTTCCGACGTTTGTATTCGTAAAACTCTGTCGACTAATTAAATCCTTTCGGATTAATTCGACGTCTCGGATCGGAGATTCGATTGGGTTCGACCCGAAGGGTTCAGTTAAGATTAAGCTGTAATATCAATTGTACCTTGATATTACTGATCGGAAGCGGGCTCCACCTAGGAATTCCGATCACTTGACCTTACAGAAGAATTAGCTCTGTAATAATTCTGAACCCTCTATCGGAATAATACACTTGTTGAAAGGACACCATTCCTTTCACGTCAATGGTAAAGTCGAAGTTGCAATAAATTGATGAAGTAGTAAATTATAAGAATGGGAAATCGTCGGCTAGCAGACATGTTGGGGGTCGATTTAGTGGAAGCATTGCGGGAAGATGGCGAAGATGGGCATGGCTGCGCAAGGGAGTTGCGATTCAACTCTGAGAATGTAAGTGTCTAATTTATTGCGTTGTGGTAGATGTGTTTGGTTAATTTGTTGGTTGTTAATGAAATATAAAATTAAAGGTTGGGAGAGATTAGGGTTTGTGACTCCGTAGCACACATTGTTGTAAGTATGAGTACATGTTGAGTGTTTATAATTGATTAATTATACTAGGTAATTGGTAGTGTGTAATTCAGTAATTATTGTGTATATTACTTGAATGGTGATTGTTATGTGGTTATTGTAATGTGATTAGAGTGGTTTAATTTGAGATAAGTCAGTTTTTGTATCTTTAAATTTTGTTTAGTTGTTGTTTCTGATTGATGGTTAGTGAATTCAGTTTGACAATTGATGGACATTTTGGGGTCTATTTAGTTATGGCGGTGGTTTTCAAATATTGGCTTAATGGTCTGTGTAGTCGTTGAAAATGGACATAATAAATGTTATGATGTTGTTCTTTATATTGTGTTGTTATGTTGTGTTGTTTGTTATTGTTTGTACTAGTTGTTGTTGAGATAAAATGATCCACTAGATTGAGTTGTGGAAGTATATGTGTTGTAGGTGGGTGTTGGTGAGGCACTTGGAGCAGATAGTGAGGATGATGTATATGTTTATGAGGAGGGGTTAGAGAGTGGTGATGGATTTACAGAAGGAGATGAGGAGGAGGATGAAGAAGGAGAAGGAGATGAGGGAGAAATACAGGGGTCATATTTTGAGGAAGTAGAAGTTGATGGTGGCGTTGAAGATGAAGGGGCAGAGGCAGGAGGTTCTTCTTTCATAACACTAAAGAAGGGCAGGGTATTGGTGCACACTGTATTTGGTGTGGAAGAGAAAGTACCACCCCCAACTTTGGGCATGGTATTTGGGAGTAAGGATGAGTTGGATACCTATTTCTAGAGTTATGCTAGGCAAAAGGGTTTTGGTATAGTTAGGGCTGCTTTTGGGTGGGTGGATGTGAAGAAGGAATTGAAAAAGGGGAAGTGTTGTAAGCAGAGAAGGAATGCTAAGTGGACTTGTGACTGTTATGGTTACGCTTCAAGGAAGCGTAGACAGGATGCACTTAAGGAAGGGTTGTTGCAAGATGAGGAGACAGTTCAGAAACGAAAGACTAAAAAGTGCGGGTGTCCTGTGGAGTTGTATGCCAGTGTTAATGAGGAAGGGAACTGGGTTATTCGAAGGCTGAATTTGGAGCACAAAGGTCACATTGTTACTCCGGGAAAGTCAAATGATGTAGCGATGTACCGGAAGCACGAGTTAATGGTGAAAAATAATCATTTGGTCAAGCAGGTGCATACGGCGAAGAAGTCTAAGGTGAAGGTATCCCAAATGTACAGTTGTCATGCTCGGGAGCGTAATGGAGTGGAGGAGATGACATTTACGCAAAGAGACTTGGAGAATGCAGTGGCTCAGAAAATCAGACTTGAGCTTACTAAGGGTGATGCAAATGGCATGATAGAGTACTTCAACAAAATGAGTGCCGACAATCAAAATTTTCTCCATCTATGTTGGTTTGGGAAGGACGGGGCATTACAAGATGTTGTGTGGGTAGACGCGAGGAGTAGAGCTGCGTATAAGGAGTTAGGAGATGTTAAGTGTTTTGACAGTACGTATTTGACAAACAAATTTCACCTTCCCTTTGCTGTGTTTATCAGTGTGAACCATCATGGGCAGAGTATTTTGTTTGGGTGTGCATTAATCTCTCAGGAAACGGCGGAGACCTATTAGTGGGTAATGAGGACTTGGCTACATTGCATGGGGGGTAAAGCTCTTATCTCAATCCTAACGGATCAAGATCTGGTGATTAGGAAAGCTGTAAACTTGACTATGCCTGACAGTTGCCATAGGTGGTGCATATGGCACGTACTTCAGAAGTTTGGGACGTATGTGGGTAAGCATGAGGACTATGAAGCTGTAAAGGATGAGTTTGAAAATATCATTTATGGTAGTTTAGATGCTGATGAATTTGTAGATCGTTGGGTGGACGCAGTTGTTATTATAAACTAGGAGATAACAGTTGGCTTGAAGGTACTGCACTTCCATTTCTTTTTTCTTTTTTTTTTGTTTGTGATTGTTACTGATTTATATTATAATATGCAGAGGTGTAGCTGTTTGTGTGCAGAGGACTGGAAGCTGTTTCAGTTCTGATTTAGAGTAGGAGTAGGTTCAGTGGTACAATTTTGTACCACTAAGTGTTTTTTTTTTTGTGCAAGTTTCTTATCTATGGCACATTTTTGAGACAGTGAATGTACCACCTACAGGAGTCCAGGTGTATGAGGTTTGTATGTTTTTAGATAAGCCATTAATTGCAATTATTTGAAATGTAGGGCTGTATGAGGAAAGGCACATGTGGATCCTAGCGTATTTGAAGCATTTATTCTAGGCCGGGATGAGAACGACCCAGCGTTCTAAAAGTTTCAATCACTTCTTCAAGGGTTATGTTGATAACATACAACATTGTCTGAATTTGTGCTTCGATACTGCGATGCAATGTAGATAAGGGCCGAGTCAGAAAGAATTGCGACCTCTAACACACTACAGTACATCAGGCATGTAGCTACCGATTTCCCAGCGGAGGAAGTGTTATAGAAGTGTTACACGGACGCCAAATTCAAAAAAGTTTAGTGGGAGTGCAAGAGGATAATGTACGTGCGTCGCCTAGATGACTATGAAGTTGGTGAGAATCAAGTTGATTTTGTTATTGAGGACCGAGTGTGGATCAAGCTAAAATTTGCAAAGAAAGAATATGTGACTAAGCTTCGGAGATGCTACAGGGTGTGCTATGACAGTAATACATATGAAGCTAGTTGTGACTGTAAACACTTCGAGTGCCATGGAATCATTTGTCGACATATGATCTTTGTGTATGACCATTGTGGTGTTTCCATTGTTCCTGAGAAGTATATTCTACGTCGTTGGAGGAAGGATATTCAAAGGAAACACACACGAGTGAAAGTAGCTTACCATGATCCACTTAAAACCGATGAAGCCAGGCAATATCACAAATTGATGGGGATGTATGAACCAATTTGCTTAAAGACTTCAGCTTTTAAGGAGGGTGTTAAGGCTGTGGCAGAGTTGTTGCAATTGATGGGCCTCAGAGTCGATGAAGTGTTGGCAATGGTTGCCAAAATAATAGGAATAGGCAACTAAGGATAATGAAAAACGAAGGTGAGGATGATGGCGTACATTGTGTTGTTCGGACGCCTTCTTCTGTGGCTTTGAACAAGGAGCTTGGTTGTACAGATACACCAGCCGCACATGCATCTGGGTTTCCAAATACAATCCCTACACCAATTATTGCCTTTGTGGGGAGTTGTGATGGATCCGTTCCGGCAGTGATTAAGGATCTACCGCTGCCCAAGAAGAAGGCTCATCGTACAACCAATGTGAGGTATCCATCTTGCACAGAGAAAAAGGGAAAAGAAAAGGCTTCTAGGGCGAAAAATGCAGCAAAGAAGCAAGCTGCGGCGGCATAGAACAGTATGTCATTGTCAACGAATGACTATATAAGATCGGTTGAAGGGATTCAAATGAGGGAGGTGGATAGTTCCTTAGGGTACTTCACTTGTGTTAGGGGAACAAATTCTGGTGGTCTTTTTGCATGTGTACTAGGTACTCCTGGTACATCATGTTCCAATCACTTGTAATGTAATCGATTCAACTAGTTTATTAATGCATTGGTATTTATTTGTTGTATTTGTTGTTAAAACATCTTGCAGTGGTACACTTATCGTCTATGAACTGTACCATTGGTCAGTTATCTTCATGGTGTTGAAAATACAGGTGTTTACATGAATAGGTTCCTATAATAGTATACCATATGATTCTCAGAGTGCCATTATAATGAGGGTGGTACATTTTCAGCATATCTAGGGTTTCAAGGTCAGAGTAGACGATGTCATCTGATCGAGGGTACCACTAAGACAATTAGGGTACCACTGTAGTCAGGGTGGTACATGTGACCGCATAAAATGAACCACTGAAAAGGCAAAGGCATGTTTCTTGTTCAGGGTTGTACAAAACCTACATAGGAGGACATTGTTTAATCACAATTTTGGTATCACTAATATCCATCTTATTAGATTTCACTAATATCGTTGGTCACAAATAACTAATTACTAGAGTTGACCTCATTAAGTAATTCGTAATATGTCAATGATTTGTTAATCACAGCCTTTGGGACACTTATGTTGATAGGAGGACACAGTAGAACATTATTTAATGACATTTTGTTGCTTCACTAATATTTTGTTAATAAGACCTACATGTATGAATACTACGGTTTACCTAGCTAACTAATTCGTAATCTTTTAATGATTTCGTAATGACAACCCTTACGTGTACCTTAATTTGTAATCACAACCTTTGGGATATTCACCTCATTAATGAATTCAGTTACCTTTTAATACAATATATACGTCTATCTGCTGTAATTCGTTGTTTGAGTCATTCAGCTGTTGCTTGGTTAGTTCAAGTCCTTACTCGTTATCGATTGTTAAATGATTTAACTAATTAAACCCTTTAATGAACAGTGATGTTCTATGTAGTCCGCCTTATGAAATTGGACTTAACACTTACCTTCCTTTCGATGTTATCTAATGACAATGAAATTTATAAAAGGCCTTAGTACAGTGGTACCTTTTCATGTCATGAATGTATCATTGTACATAGAGTGGTACATAGTTTATGCAACATAGGGTACCATTTATATGATCACAAGCAAGTCGTCTTTACAAATTCACACTTTATATAAAATGGGGCCCACGGTGAAATATAAGTGCCTAAACACAATAACTTTCTCGGTCAAACACTTGACTTCACTGGTTTAACTAGTGGCGTAGTTCAATATTAACTTGTAATTGCCGTTGTCGTTAAATTTAAATTGTAATGTAAGTCGTTCAACTAGTCGCGTAGTTGAATATTAATTATCAAAATGTTGTTAGTGCTCTCGTATGCTGAAATTCCATATGCTGATCTATGTAGTTCAAGTAGTTCAATTCCATATTGTTCTAAACTTTTATTGTTGTTGCTCTAAACTTTTATTCTTGTTGTTCTGTTTATATGTGCTAAATATTTTCCTTTGATACTGCGCAAACTAATATAGGTAAGTTTAATTATCAAGTAGTTCAGAACACTACACATAATATTCTAAACTATTGTGTGTGTTGTTCTGAACTGTAAAACATATTATTATATACAAGTTAAACACAAATTTAACAAATCATATATTGCAAGTAAAAAAAAGAAATGTCATTAAACAAATCATATATATCCTACATCCTGACTAAACCATGTAATATTGTATAAAATACGCTTATTTCCCTAGTGCATTTAAAAGTTAAACAAGCTATTTTATTTTCAACGAACATCTTCGTCATAAAGACCATCCCATGCAAATAAGTGCTTCTCGTGTTGTAGTTTTTGTTTGCAAAATATTTGCGGCTGCGGCATATTTTCTACAACAAACTTATTTCTCATCCAATTTGATGCGCCATTTCACGTAACTTCCTTCTGCACTGGACGATTCCCGTTGATCCGATGATGTTGATGGTATTCTCCAAAAGCTTAACACATTTTTCTTCTTCTCCGGTATATATATATACACATATATACATACATACATACATATATATATATATATATATATATATATATATATATATATATATATATATATATATATATATATATATATATATATATATATATATATATATATATATATATGAAAGGAATGGTGTCCTTCCAACAAGTGTATTCTTCCGATAAAGGGTTCAGAATTATTACGGAGCTAATTCTTCAGTAAGGTCAAGTGATCGGAATTCCTAGGTGGAGGCCGCTTCCGATCAGTAATATCAATGTACAATTGATGTTACAGCTTAATCTTAACTGAACCCTTCGGGTCGAACCCAATCGAATCACCGATCCGAGACGACGAATTAATCCGAAAGGATTTAATGAGTCAGCAGAGTTTTACGAATACAGATGTCGGAAATCGAGCCAAGGGTGTCGAGACCGCGCGTTGCAAAATCATAAAGCGACAAGTATGATCGTAGCCCTAGCACCACACTAGCCTAGCCATGTGGATGCTAGGCTAGTTCAGGCTAGCATGGCTAGGCGCAAGCCCAAGCGCACTAGGTGTGCTAGGCAGCCCATCGCAAGTGTTATGCGCACCATAACACACCATCGCAGCCCATCGCAAGTGCTATGCGCACTATAGCACATCATCGCAGCCCATACAACATCACTAGGCGCACCATGCGTGCCCTAGGATGGCTGGGCACCATCGCAGCCCAGGCAGCATCTCTAGGCGCACCATGCGTGCCCTAGGATGTCCTGGTGCCGTCGCGGCCCTAGCAAAATGTTGGGCGCATGGCAGGACCACACGCACCAAGCTCAACTAGTGTTAGGCACTGGCGCATGCGTGGTGCGTGGTGGTTGGCCGAGGCTTGTGTATGCATAGTGCATGATGCAAGGCACTGGTGCATGCGTGGTGCTTGGTGCTTGGGCGAGGCTCGCTAGCAGCACGCATGCTGGCCATGCTAGCAATGGTGCGAGAGAGAGAGATGCGAGGCATAGCACCAGCGCCAGCACGCACCAGCGCATGGCATTGGCATGCACCAGCGCATGGCACTAGCACGCACCAGCGCATGGCACTGGCACGCACCAGCGCCAACACGCAGCACCAGCACAACCCAGCAGCAGCATGCACTGGCTGGCTGGCT